TTAAGGGGGTCACAGGGTGTCGCTGGTTGAAGACGGTACAGAACAATACGTACTTATGCGCTATTGGGGAGGTTTATTAATAGTAATTGATGATATTGGTATTGAATGATTTAAATTGACTAATAGATTTCAGGATCTGGTCATGTGAATGTTAACAGGTACTTTGTAGCTGCACAATAAATCTCGAATACTTTACAACAAACAAAGAGATTGGCTACACACACGGAAACTTAGATAATATAGGGTATAGGTGCCCCACAATTTAAAAGGGCTTCCTAATTTAAAAATTATTAGTTTACCATGAATAATTCCTATGGATATAACTAGTTTCATCTTTTACATTACATTAAGACATGATTTTATTGATCTAACGTGTAATGATATTGAAGAAATTGACTTATTGCAAGCCTATTTTTTTAAAGATAGATATACATAATGAAAATACTAAGGAGGATAGATGCCCTTTTCAATAAATTAGTAATATTTATTTGTAATCTTTAATATACTGTATATATACATATTACATCTTCAATACTAAATATATACGTGTTTAAAGTTACTTATCGACTTCACTTCGTATTTTTGTAGCTATCAATACATTCTGTACAAAATGTCCATTGTTTGAACTGTGAATAATTTGTCTTTTTGGTACTTTTACTTACTTTTAAACTATTATCATTTACTTGTCTTTTTCACTAAAGTAATGTATTTCCTTTTTTTCTTTTCTTAACTTTCTTGTCTTGCCCGTTGTCCCTAAGGGCACCTATACCGCTAAAAATCGAGGCGACTATCATATTGGACATGGATAGATGCCCTTTTATTATTACTAAGCTATATAGAAAAGAGCGATTATTGGCCCCTACGTGCGCAGTTAATGAACCAGTGTATACGAAATTTATTATAACTTACAAAGTTATGCGACAGTAAATATATGCGTCTGAAATTTTGAACCGTTTGTCATGTTGGTCGCGGAGATAAACGCATGCACAAGCCAAATGCGTCGATTCCACACGAAGCCCTGCAGGAGCTTTGATGAGTGGTGTCTATACTCCTTATTTAAACTAATTATTCTCTGTTGCGATTTGGGGAAGTTAGGTTTTTGACAACGAGTTACCTATCCCACTGCGGCATGTATCCCGGTTTTACCCTACAAAAAAGTTTGTACTTTTTCTATATTTAGCATTATTTATTTGCAGATAAGTAGTAGCCCTAACATTCGACAGAACAGCTCGTCCTTGGAAGCTGAATAACCTATATAGAAGGTCTTCTTTTAAGCTTATAAATTGTTAAGCTTATAGATAATGTCTCGTACTATTACATCAGATATTATATATGTACATTGTTATGGTCAGCCATCCGCTGATAAGGAAGGATAATCCAACTTGCCGTTTACCCGCTCACAGTTTGCAGCGATGCTAAATTTAGAAGTTACTTTCTAAGGCATCGGCCGCCTCCTCATGCGAAGCCGTTCATGAGAAACCCTGACGTGGTTACCATTACTGAGTAACCTGAGTAACTGACTGTGAAGAGACGAAAAAAGAAAGGCCGTTGGAAGGTCAGAAGGTCCTGTCCCTCAACTAAACAAATATCTGATCTCGAAATGTATCGGAACTAGGTCGAAATAAGAGAAATTAATAAAAATAAAATCGTCTTTATTTGACGTGCAAAATACGCAAATTACACACAATTGGAGAAAATTCCTTTATAATAAAAAAACAATGCTAATAGGAAACAAATAGTAAAAAAAATCAACTTAAATGAGCAACAAAAAGTATTAACTAAATTAATGAGTAACTTGTGTATTTAAGTCTAATTTTTGCTGGACTTGTTTCGAACCAGTCTACGGATCACGGATCACGGACCCCGAACCACGGACCGCGGATCGCGGACCACGGACCACGGACCAGGACCTGGTTCAAAACGTGTCGAGCAAAAATTCGACGTAAATACGCGAGTTATCAGTTAGTTCGTCTCATGGTAGTTTTCTATTTCAAAAAAGCAACAAAAGGCATATCAAAAGGGTCTTCGATTTAACACCCGAGGACTATGCTAATTACATAGCTCGTTATTCGCGGTGTTATTCTGCCATATTTTATATAAAAATGAAATGGAACTCCACAATCTAAACTTTAATATATATAATGTGTTGATTAGCATTCTCGCCATATTTACAGAGTAAATCAACAACAACTTATTTCTACATAGGACGCACTATAAGTTTCCGGAACTGGCCACTTACATAAACAATATTTAAAAAGTAATTACAACGTTTGAAAATGGAACTCTTTGGCTGTAGAATACAGTTTGTTTCATCTGACTGTCACTTGTTTTTACATTGTGGCGTCATTTTAGAAATTGGTTGTCTACATCACCATGGATTTAGCTCGTGAAAATTTCGTATGATTTAAGTGTAATTTAATAGTTCAGCGGAGCTTCGCTCGGCTTCAAACTGCTTTTGGCGATGAAGCACCATACAAGACGACTATTTATAGCTGGTTTGCAGAATTCAATCGCGTGAATCTCAGTGACGAATTTCGTGATGTTCGCCCGTCCACTGCTGTGAACAACAAAAACATCGATGCTGTGCGGCGTATGATCAAAACAGAGAGGCATGTGCAATACCATGAGATTTGGGCATCTTGAGGCATAGGCATGAGTCAAATACAATCAATACTACACAACATTTGGGTGTGAAAAAGCTGTACTCTCGGTGGATCCCACACAATTTGACTGAGGCCCAAAAAACGGTTCGCATCACTTAGTGCAATGCCAAGCTTATCAAATTCAACGAAGGGGCGTCAATTTGGTGTGGGATATAGTAACAGGTAACGAAACATGGACTTATAGTTACGATGTCATAACAAAGCACCAATCGTGCGTCTTCCGAGGACTTTACAGAGGCCATTTTTAAAACTCGATTTGATATTTCGTCGCCTTACTTTCTCAAACTCGTATCTTAAAAAACAAATGCAAAAAATTCATTGTATATACATATTTGCAGGATGATTTCACGTCAAATTTCCTTCATATTTAGACACTACCTTTTACCTATTCTTAAAGTAACGCATCCAAATTAACATCCTTGATAAGAAATTTAAAATAAATAGAAATACTTGCCATCTCCTTAATAATCACTCTAAGATAAGTGTTTGAGAAAGTAAGGCGTCGATTTGTTGTTTTCTAAATTATTTCCTTTATGGAAAAGGCAAGTCTTGGTGAATTTCTACCTCTCGAATTCTATCACTCGAATAGCTTCGAAGCTTGGATTTTGGAAAATAGTATATTTACTATGATGGTTTAGGTGTAAATGAGTTATTGATTGGTAAATGACTGATTTTATTCTTTAGGAAAACCTATTTTTACTGATTTGTCTCACGTGTATTAATCTTTGCTTGCACCAATGCGTGCCGAAATGTTAGAAGAATATTTGGCATTTTCACGTTTGGTGACTCCTACAGTGTACACGTCTAAAAATTTTCTCCGGTTTACACGTTATTCTATATTTATGAGTATGTTTTATTCAAACTTTCTGGTAGTATTATGCCGGTAGTATTGGAGATTTCCAGTACTACCGGCATGATAAATCCTCTGAATCGGTTGATATATCATTGGTACATGTATATACAAAAACAAAAATCAAATGCGACTGTATGGGCCATGAGATGAGTGGTATCTTTTGTTATTGTCCAATAACCCTTGTATTTTACACATCTATTTAGATTTATTTTTGAAAATAATATATGTCAGATGAATTTGGTCGATGAGAGGGTAGTACGGGGGCGCCTTCGCGGCGGCCCATTGCTCCCCACTTGTTTTCCATAGTATAACAATTACTCATAAACAATTTGCAAGCCGAAATAATAACTACGGTATAAAGTGATCGTGTCCGCTATCAGAATCGAACAGTTCCTCTTTTTTTTGTGAAGGATATTTTGCAGTTGGCCGCCGATGGCCTTGACTGCACCATCGGAAAACTGACTGACCGAGCTGAAGGCTCGTAACCTGTACAATAAACTAAAAAATTAAGTAGCGGGCCTGAGGGCGCCCAAGTGGGCACGGACCTCGGCTCAGGGCGCTACTGAAGACTTCCACCAGAAGGGCGTGCTATAAGAGAGAATCTACCAATGTACATGTTGAAATGAGGGGCTCTACGACCTCGCCGACGAGGACGTAGTGGTGTGTGTGGAGATGGACTGATTTGCGATCTGATTGGCTTCAAAGTGGCGAGAGTGATAGGGTCGTCAGGGTCGTAACCGTTGAGGATTTCCCTTGACTGACGGGTCCTACGGATTCGCGGTGGGTACTTCCTGAGGGAGTCATAATTGGATGCAGCCACCACGAGGAGGTTGGGGGACCCGTAAATCTATATGGAGGTTAGCGTTGCGCAAGTACCACGGGGCACCTGTCGCGTTGCGCATGAATCTATTTTGGTGAGCCTGCAGGCGGTGTATGAGGGCGGGATTTACCTGTGCGAATGCGACGCTGGCGTACGTCATAATTGTCGTGTACAGTCTCACCTTATTACGAAGGGAAAGTTTACTATGCTTGTTGAGAAGGGGGTGGAGGCGGCTTATTACAATGCCTACTGCTACTACTAGTCCTGCTACTAAGCCAAGGCCTACAGCCTACTCAAGTAACTAAGCAGTTTGCTTATGTATGTGTTATGTTTGCTTATGTTGAGTGTATGCGTTATTATTATTATTATTATTATTATTATTACCAGTTATGTCGACGATATTGAACCTCTGTCGGGTAAACCCCATCTCTCTTTTTCCACCTTCCTAATGCGGAGAAAAAGTAAAAGAAGTTTCCCCGTTTTAAACAAAATTCCAAAAATCTTGAAAGTGCTGAAACTGTATTCGCGGTGTTACAGTAAAAAAAATAATTTAAAAAAAATTCTTTATGGTTCAGGTGTATCTGCGAAGTGTCATTATCCTTCAAACATTTGTACAAAACAGAATAAAAAACGGAATAAAAAACGATAAATATTAAAGTTGACCAGCGACTATGAACCTGCCACCAAAATTGGTTTGCTTGCCTAAGGAGCAAGCATATTTAAAATTCATGGTATTACTGACATAGCATACAAGGAAATAAGATAAGAATCAATAAGAAATCAAGTAATAAAAGTAACTTGGGAAGTCCGTCAGATTTTCTGGAACTTTATTGCAACTAGAAAAAAATGTTTAAAGCATTGAAAAACATTTTTCTAAATAGCTTAATTATAACAAAGACTACTGGAACTATACCGCCATTGGAATGCCCGGCATCTTTGGTGACGCACCGTTTCCCAGACCCAGATTACAGCCTACAATACCGAACGACTAATTTCCGAAATCTTCCAGATAGAACAAAAGATGACGATAAAGAGAGCCCTCCTATTAACTTTTCTCATAATTCCGACTGTGGACGGCTAAAACAACATGCTTCACCTTCTCCTTATATAGATACGGACAAAAAGTACTTAGAACGGAAGTTGCAAAAGCAATTCGTTCTACCAGTTTCTTTTCCACCTTATGTAAAGAAAAAAGAAAAACATGTCTCTGAAGATCAAAAACGTGTTTCACCGAACGATCTGCTTTCATACTGCGTAGAAACTTCTATAACATCGCCGAAACACAGTCGATATAATTTAGAACGTTTATCAAAATATTTTCCATATCCACGTACATTGGTTTCGTGCCCAGAATCGTCCCCACGTAGGGCACAACCCCCTTTTCCGAATGATGATCTTTCTAAAAAATTGGATGAGGCAGTGTACCCACCTAATCCTCCTTGGCGAGCACCGATAGTTCCGTGTCCTGCAATGTATACTCAACCGTATGATATATATGAAAACCTGCGTTTACTTAAGTTACCGTCGTGCCCACCCTGTCCATCAGACTGTCGAGAAGCGTGCCCACCACCACCTTTGCGTTCCGAATGTTATATGCAGCCATGTGAAAGTACTCTTCCGTCGAAATCCTCTCCGCCACCCTTTGAGAGCCATACAGAACCAGAACCAGGTGAGTTTTTAATTTTCCACTTTTCAGTAAACAAATCTAGTGATTTGATCAAACACCTGATTTGGTAAGGTAAAATAAAAAAGAAATACGTGACATTCAATAAAATAAAAAAAATACAATTGTTAAAGTGATATCTCTAGTCAGTCGCTGATAGCTATAAAGGGACCTGGCTGAGTGAAGAAATAGATTTCTTTTTTTTATAGATTTCATTTTTCTCACAAATGGCAAAGATCAGCAACAAGTACAAAGAGAAAATCGTAAGGTCCGCTAGTTCGTTCCGTGGCTTAGTTGGCATAACGTTTGGCACGGTTTGCTGGAAGATATTGGTTTAAATCCAGCCGGATCGAAGGAATTTTTTCTGAGTAGTTGATTTTTGTATTAATAATAATAACGAACTAGTGGAGTAATTTCACAAAAATAATGAAATATCATGGTGGTCAAACACCGTGACATTAAAAACCTGAAACCTGAAGTTGCAAAACCACAGAGGCAGACGGACCAGTGTGAAGAATACGGCTTCATAAAGGTGATGACGAGGAAGAGGAAGCCCACCAGCCGCAACCTATATGGCATAGCACCGACAGGATCGAACTTTTTGCTCCGTTCGGCCATACCGACGACGCTGTTGTACCTGTCGCGACTACATTACTCCACAAAGTTTGAGGAGATAGTGATCAGTATCAGATTAAGCCAAATACACCCTGAAAGTCGAGCAGTTGGAGTCCCGCCACAACGTCAATTTTATTTCGTTTGTGGTAAGAGTGTCGACCGAATATCTGTCGATCGTTTTAAAGGAAGAGTTTTCGACCGAAGGGTGTCAAATATCGGCGATTCCGTGGCCTAATTACCTGAAAATCAGCTTGTGCCACACGTCGCCGACAAATGCACTTTGTATAGATTAGATATTCAGTTCATTATATTGTTATATTACATTGTACGTGTGTTAGTCCTTAATGTATATTTTGTATGAGTCATGTGGCCTGAATGAAATGTATAAATAAAAAAATACTTTAAAAAAAAAATATTTTCAACGTAAGAAAAAAGTTTATATTTTTAACGTGAATTAAGTAAAATATTATATACAACTAAAGAGAGAGAATAGATAGGACTACTTACATCTGGTTCTGGTGAACTCCAATTTTGTGACAATAAGTTTTTACACAATGACAAGTAGCAGCGATAATGCAAAGCGGCATATACGTGCCACTAATTCGAATTTGATGCGTTTAATTATGATACAGTAAGTTAGGAACAGAATCAAATATATCAAATAAAAGGACATTAAAGAACCTGTATACATATAAGTAAACAAATGTATGATGCGCTACAGCCAATGTAGCTTCAAGCAAGCCGGTGAGATAAATCAACGTTAATCTTTATCCCGCGGCATATACAACAATGTCTGACAACAAAAAGGTCCAACAACAGAGACTGATCAGGAAAACATGTACGTGGGGCGCACTGTAAGTTTCCAGAATGAATAAGAAAAAATACTATAAATGGTCAGAAATTTATTGTTTCTCAAAATATTCTCCGTTAGCGTTAATGCACTTTTTCATACGAATGAACCAATTTTTACCAACATTTATGCCACTTCTCCGTGACAATCTCTGAAACATATTTTTCATGCTCTTTGATAGCTTATTCAGGTGATGATACTCGTTGACCGCGTAACTGGTTCTTAATTTTTGGAAATAAATAAAGTCTTAAGGTGCTAGGTCGGGACTGTACCCGGGCGGCGTCGTGGTGAATGTTCACTGATCCCACGGCGCCGACTCAACCGGCGAGAGGGAAACCCGGGGGGGTTTTAGTGGGGTAGGCCCTCCAGTCTGAGGGAGAGTCCCCACATAACTCCTGAGTCTCCCTGGGCTCAGGGGTATCCATAAAGATTTCCCCCTGTCAAAAAAAAAAAAAAAGGTCGGGACTGTACGCGGGATGGCTCATAAGGTCAACGTTGTTCACCTTCAAAAATTCATTTCGTGACTGAGATTCATACGACCGCGTTTGAATTCTGCAAACCAGCTATAAATAGTCGTTTTGCATGGTGCTTCATCACCAAGAGCAGTTTGAAGCCGAGCGAAGCTCCGCTGAGCTGTTAAATTGCACTTAAAGTCGTAGAAAATCATATTACGAAAATTTTCACGAGTTAAATCCATGGTGATGTAGACAACCAATTTCTAAAATGACGCCACAATGTAAAAACAAGCGACAGTCAGATGAAACAAACTGTATTCTACAGCCAAAGAGTTCCATTTTCAAATGTTGTAATTACTTTATAAATATTGTTTATGTAAGCGGCCAGTTCCGGAAACTTATAGTTCGCCCTGTGTATGCACTCGTAGCCTCTGCTGTGCTGTGTCCGGGTAATCACAATATTAAACACGGTGGAGTAGGTATATGGTTCTAAACTTTCTGTTACTTTGGTGAACTCATGAAAATCCCAAATTTTTCAACTTAATTTCATATTTACGTTGGAGATATTAATGGTGAAAATCAGTTGTAGGGAGATGTTCCGTTTCAATAAAGTGTACTTTAGCACATAGCATGCATGGCGCTAGTTATTACGTCGCATCTAACTTCTGATTTATTCTCAATTTTGTTTACGCATTTGACATTTCAAATTTCTGTTTATTTTGTAAATGTTCTCGAAAAGCGCATATTTATCGATATCTTAGTATAATAAAACAGGTATGGTAACTCCATATAATCCTAGCAGAGCGGTTTGTATGTGTGCGCGCCCGCCGCAAGCAGTGTACGGACGACTGACGCACACTTGCGCATAAGCTCGCGATACATACGCATTGCATAGCGCTGGTCGTCTCACGCAACTTTCATTATTTTGCGAATGTATGTGTCTGTACAAGGCGCACACATACAAACCGTGCTGCTACGTTTGGTATGGTATGGTATGGTATGGTATGGAAACCATACTTGTTTTTATTATACTTTATAAGTACTATGCAAATTTGATTGTAAGGAAAGGAATACCTAGAAAAAAATTCTTTAAACAAAAATGCACAATAATATATTCAACGCACATGTCAGTTGGTTCTTTATCTCAGCAACAGTGGAATAGTAATTGCATGGCATCGAGTATATAACCAGAAATAGAGATAAAATGTAATTTAATTTGTTTGAAAACTATTCTGCCAAATCATTACGGTGACAACTCGATTCACAATTTCGATTCACAATTTTCGGACGGGACGGACGTGTGGCGAATAGCTCTCATATTTTTAGTTTATTTGTTTGTTTCACCCGTTGCCAACTTCCAAGTGCGGTTCTGCAAGTTATTTACTCTCGGACCCTCTCGTTTCGTCTTCCGTGGAGGTCGCTTAATGGTGGGCGCCATCTTGAGTCTGTCGCGACTGCCCTAGTTACAATTGCGTGAGTGTTGCCTGCTGACGGTGTTGAGAGTCGGACCCTCTCTTATTATCTTGCGCTGAAGACCATTGAGCGGCGCCGCCATATTGGACTGTGCTCGTCTGTTTCACTCGCGCCTGTTGGGAACGGCGAACCATCGCGACGCGGCCGTTCTACCATTGCGTGACATCAACTTTCCACTCTGTCTGGGCGCTGCTGTCGTGTGCCGTTTTGGAGGAACTAGTGTGGCCGCTTTTTGGAGTTTTGCGTGAGTCTCTTGAATTTATTGCTCTGTGTTGGATTTGAGCCTGCGGTGCGAAAACGCGAGTCCACCGTGTGTGCCGCTCGACCACGGAGTTTGGAACTGCCGTGGCGAAATAACTCGCTGCAAGCTACATTCGGTGACGTAGTACAGACGCTACGTGTTGAAAGACGTCACGCGGCTACGCCGCTACGCTGCTACGACCGTTCTCCGATAGACACGATTTGACCAGCGACACGCGTCACCTGCCCGGTTGGACATTGGAGAAAAAACGACCGTTAACTACTGAATTAAGAACTAGATCTTTAGAGTTATACAAAACAAAGCACCCGTAATTTGCGACTAAATCTGCAAAATGGATTGCGTGGCTTGTAAAAAAAGAGCGACCGTCAGCGAACGAATTAAATGTTGCGTATGCAAAAAGAATTACCACTATGGTTGCTTAAACATAAAAAGTGACGAGTATAGAAAACGCCAGCATGAATTTGATTTCTCCTGGTCTTGCCCTGAATGTAGAAACGTCACACGACGACACACTAAAAGAAACGACGATACTCCAGTGCGAAATGTCCACTATCCGCCGCCGAATTGCACATTAGTAAACACTACAAATTCACAGGATGAATCTCAGTCAGACCACAGTATTATGGGAGACACTTTGGACCCTGTACTATCTCACATCACTCAAGACACTACTGCAGTGAAAACTGTAAGCCCAGAAAGTTTGCCAACTTTACAACAGATTAGCGAATTACTGGACAAAAAGTTAGAAAGCATGGAACAATCCATATTAGGTAAAATTGCGGCTTCATTAGAAGTTTCATTAGAGATGATTAAACAAGAATCTAAATCCCAATTAACACAAATAAATAAGATAACAACAGTACAAGAAAAACTTCTATCAGAAATAGATAAAATAAAGAAGGATGTAAAAATATTAGAAGACAAGAACAAAATGCTACAAGCGGAATTAGAATACGTTAAAAAACAATATGAACCTATTCGCAATACTGATATGCATAATAACAATTATAATCAGGATTTCATTCGCTTAAGCCAAAATAATAACCAGAAAGAGAGATATGAAAACAGTAAAAAAAATAGTTATTTATGGACTTGATGAACTGCAAGAAGACGACGAAGATTATTTAATTAGTAGAATAACCTACGCTTTTTATGAGATCGCTGGAATAGATATATCAGGATACGTGGAGGACATCGCCCGTTTAGGAAGGAAAGGTTACCGTCGGCCAGTAGTGGTTGAATTTATTAGCAAGAGGATAACGAGAAACATTTTGCAGAGTACTTACTGCTTTAGAAACTCAGGATTGCGTGTCGATAAATACTTAAATGAAGAAGGACGAGCTAAAAGAAAAAAGTTACAAGAACGTATGTATGACTCAAGAAAAAATGGACACCATGCAATAATTCGTGATGGTGAGTTAATAATAAATAGGAAAATTGTGCGGTTTCAGGAAGCACAACCAGAACAATATAATAACACCGAAGAAATAGCAATAACACAGAACAACAACACATTTCAGAATAGAAAACAACAAGATATCAATAATTCCTTTCGAAACTAATTTCAGTATTATAATACAAAATGTACAAAGCATATATAATAAAATTGATACATTGAATAGCCTTATGCAGAAACACCAACACCAAGTTATATGCCTAACTGAAACATGGATCAAGGAGGCCCAGAAAGATTACATAAACATTGATGGATACGACATAGCTGCGACTTTCTGCAGACGTGAACGTCGAGGCGGCGGGGTGGCCATCCTCGTACGAGACGGGTATAGATATAGAATCCGGCAAGATATAATTGACTGTTCAGTGGAATATGTAGTGGAGTGTTGTGCCGTTGAGATTAAGCCAAATTTATTACTGATTAATATCTATAGGGCCGACCGTAACATAGAAATATTTTTTGATTTTATAATTAATGTTCTTTCTAAAGTAAAGTCAAATTGTCATTGTAAACATGTCGTCATCACCGGCGACTTCAATATCTGGGCTTCTAAAGATTCTAACAACTACAAAAGACTACAGAATATTATGTTCGAATACGATCTACACCAAATAGTGAATAAACCCACAAGAGAAACGAGTACTAGTTCGTCGTGCATAGATCTATTATTTACAAATAATAAGCATTTCAATATAGACGTTAAAGATTTGGGTATCAGCGATCATAAAATGATTACTTACAGTTTTAAACTATCTTCTCAAACTCAAACTCAAACTAGGCCCACTTACACCTATAGACGAAAATTTACAGAAAAAAATATTGCTTCATTTAAACAAGAACTAAGACTTACAAATTGGTACAATATATTGGCACCTGGAAATGATATCAATAAAAATTATAACCTTTTTGATAAAAAATTAATACAAATTTTAGATGCAAACATTCCACAAAAACGAATAATGTTTGCCACCAGGAATAAAAACACATGGTTAACTAAAGGAATCAAAACATCGTGTAAACACAAGAGACTTCTAAAAATAATAACAAATCAAAGTAACAATAAAGTTATAAAAAAACATTATAAAACATTCTCTAAAATCCTCAAAAGAAGTATAAAATTGTCAAAAAATATTGCACATTCTAAAGCAATGAAATTATCAAAAAATAAAACAAAAACCATGTGGAGGATAATAAACAAAATAACATCTAAACACAAACCCAAAAACCATCGTAATATAAAAATAAAACACAATAACAACAACGTTCAATGCCCACTATCCGTGGCTAATATATTTAATCAATACTTTGCATCAGTAGGAAATACCCCGCTGCAGTCTGGTGGACTCGGAACGGCACCGCAAAGCACTCAAAGCATACCAGTAATAACACCTGTTGTAAATTCCATGTTCTTAAAACCTGTAACGGAGGGAGAGATCTATAACCTAATCCACCGCTTGCCCAATGTGCTTAGTTGTGGTATTGATGGCATTCCACCAGTATTGATTAAGGCTTGTATACACGAACTAACTTCACCATTAACATTTTTAATAAATCAATCCTATAATGAAGGAACTTTCCCGGAGAAATTAAAAATAGCTAAAATTAAACCGATTTTCAAAAAAGGTACGAAAACTGACGACCCTAGCCAATATAGGCCTATAGCGCTGCTTCCCGTGTTATCCAAACTGTTTGAAAAGACTATGACCAACCGAATCTATAATTTCTTAGAAACATATAACTTACTCGATGAAAATCAATACGGGTTTAGAAAAAAGCGATCTACATCGGAGGCGGTATTTAAATATGTACAAGAGATTCTTAGCTATATCAATGATAAAAACTATGCTGTAGGAGTCCTTCTAGACATGTCAAAAGCGTATGACAGAGTTTTCGCATGCAGTCCTTCTCGATAAACTGCATGGAGTAGGCATAAGGGGAATAGCGCTTCAATGGATTAAATCGTATCTATCCGACAGAAAACAATGTGTACTAATTGACCATCATGACGATGATACAGGCGAAATAAAAAGCGTACTTTCAGAAGTAGTTACCACCAATTGGTCCATCCCGCAAGGCAGTGTAATAGGGTGCATCTTGTTTATAATTTATATAAATGATTTGCCTAAGATTTCAAACACGCTAAGTATACTATTTGCCGATGATGTATCATTGTTATTCAAATGCAAAAACATCGACCACAATACTATAACTGAAATAAAAAATTCTTTCAATAATGTAAAAAACTGGCTTCTAGAACATAATCTAGAATTAAATTTCAACAAAACGAAAATAATACAGTTTAAACCTTATCAAAAGCAACCATTAGATTTAAATACAATTATAAACAACCTCAGTATAGATGAAACAAACAATTTTACACTATTAGGAATAACATTAGATACACATTTAAATTGGAAAAATCATATCGATAACATAAAATCTAAATTATCAAAGTTTACTTATGCACTAACCGTTCTTAAAGCTAATACCAGGCGTGAATGTGCTCTATCGGCATACTATGCTTACGCTTACGCGTGGCTTCGTTATGGCGTAGTGATGTGGGGCCACAGCACTGAGGCAAATGATTTATTCATCTTGCAAAAGAAGTGTCTGCGCATCATAGACAACATACGCCCAAGGGACACGTGCAGGCCGCATTTTATAACTGACAAAATTCTAACATTTCCGTCTATATATATATTGGAAACTGTCATGTTTGTTAGAAAACATTTAAAATTTTTTGAATTTGTTGGAAGCGAACGTCGTAACACTAAACTAGTACTACCGATCCCGAAATTAGAAATGTTCAGGGAAAGCCCGCTCTACCGATGTATCTTAATTTATAATAAAATTCCGGACTTACTTAAGAAAGAAAATGACAACATACTTAAAACAAAATTAAAGTGTCTCCTAACAAATAGGTGCTACTATAGCGTAAGAGACTTCATGGAATCTACTCTCTAGTTTTAACTCTTGTATAACCTCTATTTTAAGAACCTACGTTTATATCCTGCTGTTTATGTACAATTCACTTTGCTACACCCCGACGGGATATGTTTGTACTTAGTATGTAATGCTTGTACCAACATTATTTGCAATAAATAAATAAAATAAAATAAAATAACTGCGCTTCGATTGGCCAGACCAAATTCGTAACAATTGACGGGAGTCGTCAATTGTTTCACTTCACATCGACCAGTTTAATTTGAGCTTTGCTATAATATTTGAAAATTGAAAAATTAATATTTAATTACTCATGAAATGTGATTCTGTTTGTTTTGTAATTAGATGTTTAGCTGTTTTTCCCACACCACCGAACGGATCAGCCCCCCATTGTTAGAGATAGTTTATATAGCGTAGAGTTTATTACAATAAATACAGAATATTTTTGGAATATAAGGAGACGTATACATAGGTCTGTTGTTGGCGCTGTACTATTTCAGTTTTCTAATTTGTGATTTCAGCGCATATCTAAAAGTGATATAAGGCTCATTTGCATGATGAGTTGCTAGGGATGAATGGCCCTTATTTCGTCTCTATTTCTGGTTACACACTCGATGTTGCCTGGTAATCTGCCGCATAATGAACATTAACACGTAACTAATTTTCTATAACGTTGTTTTAGGTATTTATACGTACTTGTGTCCGTGCTGTGGGTGCACATGTACCGTTCAATTTAACCTGCTACACAATCAGCCACATTCCCAGTACTACGTGAGTTGCCGTTAAATGTTATACTAGATTTTAATTAGCACATATCGAAATATAGGGTTGTAACGGAGCGTTAGTTCCAAACGACGCCGCTAGATAGCATTGATCACTTTGAAGCTATTTTTAAAACGCGGTGCTAAGATTTTCCTTCCGCACTATAAGTAGTTCAGCAAAGTATGTATTGTTGAATCGGATTTCCATGTGTATACGGCTCACTCTGAACTATGTTGGATATTTACTGACTACGGGCTGTGTACGAGAACCTACCGGACCTTCCGTTACGCCTTTTTTGTGCTGCCACCAATAAAGATCCGCTTATTCGTTTACTAAGCGAGATTTTTTTTCTTTCACTAACGAAACGAGCCTTTGCCACGTCCTCCTGGATTCCGTTATATCTCTGGCGACCAACGTGAGGTACAGGAATCTCAATCTGGAGAATAATTCTGGAAGACCATACCATAAGACATAGACCACCTAAGGCAAAGAAAACGCTTAAGTACCTGTAAAGAAGAAACATAAATCAATAAACATAGTAAACATGACTTCAGTTAATATGACCACTGAACAGCTAATAGATGCTGTCAACCATAACATCGGCAACCGTGGAAGCCATCCAGCAGCAGGTACTACCAGTTCGATCTCATTTGCTAATGCTAATTTTATCTTCGATGGAGCCAGGAACCCAGACAAAGTGAAGGAGTTTCTTACTACTGCTTCAATTTATTAGAAGGTGTAGAAAATATCTGATCAGGTTGCTTTGCAAACGCTGCCGCTTGTACTAAAGGGCGAAGCTTCGACTTGTTGGTTGGATATCAAGGATAGCATTTACACATGAGTGGAGTTCGGAAAACGCTTACATCACGCCTTCGCGCCGAATAAACCCGGATATTTTGTATTTCAAGAAATATTTGCTTGTAGGTAACCTGACAACATGTTAACAGAATCGCTCATCGCTAAGAACCGAGCATTAGATGAGGGACATCAACTAGACATCATCTACGGTCAACTCAATATAAACATTCGCGAGAAAGTGTCCCGCGACAGTGTCTATTCCTTTAATGACCTGTTGCAGGCAGCCTGTGGCATCGAGTCGACATTAAAAGAGAAACCAAACCAACTAGTTATAATAATATCCAACAAAACCCAAATGAGACGCAAACAGGGAAGAAGGCACGGTGTGGATATTGTAGAGTGGGTGGCCACACCATCGAACAATGCCGCAAACTCCATTGAATAATGCTGCAAACGCATTAGAGTTCAAGGGTTACAACTACGAGCTAGTGAACCTGTGAGGGATATAAAAACCGAACCAGCTGCCCCTTCCCCGTCTCAACCAGCATTCTCTTGTTCAGGCTGTGGTTCGCCTGGAGTCATACATAGTAGATGCCCTAAATGCCCAGCTACAAACCCGACACGTACAAAAGCTGACCGTATGTATTTTTGTGCTTTAAATATCAAGTCCGATGTTATTATGTCCCACACCAAATTTGACGCCCCTTCGTTGAATCTGGTAAGCATGGCGTTGCAGCAAGTGACGCGATCCGTTTTTTTACCTCAGTCAAATTGTGTAGGATCCACCGAGAGTACATCTTTTTCACACCCAAATGTTTGTGTAATATTGATTGTATTTGACTCATACGTATGCCTAAAGATGCCCGAATTTCATGGTATGTCACATGCCTGTCTTTTTGATCATACGGCGCACAGAATCCAAAAACATGGATTCTTCACAGTAGTGGACGGGCGACCATCACGAAGTTCGTCAATATCAAATGTCAAATTTTGCAAACCAGTTATAAATAGTCGTCTTGTATGGTGCTTCATCGCCAAAAGCAGTTTGAAGCCGGGCGAAGCTCCGCTGAGCTGTGAATTTACACTTAAAGTAGTCGTAGAAAATCATACTACGAAAATTTTACGAGTTAAATCCAAGGTGATGTAGACAACCAATTTCTAAAATGCCGCCACAATGTAAAAACAAGTGACAGTCATATAAAACAAACTGTATTCTATAGCCAAAGAGTTCCATTTTCAAATGTTGTAATTACTTTTTAAATATTGTTTATGTAAGTGGCCAGTTCCGGAAACTTATAGTGTGCCGTATGTATAATCGTAGAAAGAGCTGCAATGACGACATAGTACAATTTGGTAAAATATAGAACATGAAATTAGCAAATAAAAAAAAAGTTTTGTGTGTCATTCAACTTGCGGGAACTTTCACAACTATTTAAGTACGCTTAATGTGATTAGGAAGCAATAATCTTTGATTTATAATAAAAATGTTCACATTTAAAATTACGTAACGGATTTTTTATATCGAGAGCGCGGCCAAGCCGAGGGTGGACTGGCATGAAGAGGTTATGGCGCTGACTGTCAGAGTCGGCGGCCGCCGGTGCCGGTTACCACGCCGCGAGTGGGGACACTCAATTTCCGCCATCATTCGAAAATGCAACGTAAGCTGCCATAGATTTAACCAATTTTGTCAATGGTAAATCATGGTTTTAATGTTTTAAAATCAATTATTATTTAAAAATATGATATATTTGTTGAAGATAATATTTGTGTTCAATTTTTAATACTATTAAATTTAAAAAAGATTTATTAATAAATAATTTAACAACGTTGTAACGTTCCGTCACAATGTCTTAAGCGTTACAGTCCCAGTCAGTATCTGCAACAAAATAGTAACTACAATATTGTGCTACCAGAGGCTAGAGAAAACAGAACCCTGCTCGGTGTAGGCTTTATCCGAGATGCTGGCATGATCCTCAACGTACATGGTCATTTATTGATGCTCCCTACACTACTTACGATCTGATGGAAGAAGAGCGTGACGGTTTCTCGGTGGCTCGTGTGAAATGTGCAGCAACGCCATTTTTTTTTCCTTCCACCTGGACGGAATCAACCTTGACAGTTTAGATGATGACAAAAAGCAGCAACTAATAAATTTATATAAATTAAAATATAAATGTATTTTAGGATCTGTGTAAACCGAACGAGGCATCAACAACCTTAGCCGAACATTGCAAAAACACTGATAACCATAATTCAATCCCAGTACCATCCTGTAGACTCTAACCATTAAGAAGAGACATTCTTAAGAAAGAAAGAAAGTGATTGAGAAAATGCTAATAGATAATCTCAGTACAGAGTACTAAAAAAACCGACCTCAAAAGTACGTGGAATTACATCTATTTGCCAAGTTTTATTGAAATATCCCCTAGTTTTATTGAAATATCCCCTAGTTCGCCACTATACAGGACTTGATACCGTAGATAATAAAAATCGGTTCTCACTAATCAAAGTATATGCGTACGAGATGTGTACGAGAACGTACCGGACCTTCCGTTACACTTTTTGTGTATTGCCACCAATAAACTTCCGCTTATTTGTTTATTAAGCGCGTTTTTCTTCTTTCACTGACTAAACGAGCCTTTGCCACGACCTCCTCGACCCCGTTACAGGGTAGTTATACAAGGTTATTTTTAAAATACTAACAACCTTGCAGGACTACATTATTAACATCATAAGCAACTAGTGGTGTTCTTGTAAAAAAAATAGATATTAATGTATCTATTTATATTTTGTATCTTTATCTTGTGTTTGTTCATGTATCTTTTTATTAATATGTATTTGATATATCGAAACGTTACATCGTAATTTTACGATATATCGGAAGGAAGGAAATTTTACTAAGAGTAAATAAGTGAAACCACCAGTTTTGACACAACGATCAAATATATTTCTAACTTTATGTAATTCATTATTGTGATAATGTACAGGTAGGGTACAATAAAAGCTTAAATACTAGGAAATAAAAGTAGGATTTTTAAATTAGATTAATAAAATTGGGTCCCCGCGGCAAGGTGCCCAAGATGCTGGCATCGTTTCCCCTTTGTTTGGCTATGCTAATGCGTTGGGCAAGGTAGCTACCGGTTCTTAGGTTTCCCAGACAGTCTATTAATATCTATATGTATTTCTTCAATTACTGGATCCCAACACAATAATATCGCCCGCACACAAGCAATATTATTATGTGAGTGCGGCTAGCAAATGAGAATATAACCACTACATTACACTGTCAGATGATCAGCGAATCAGTGCTCGAAGTGCGTTTCATTTCTGGGGGCCTACCACAACCTCTTAAAACAATATTACTTTAACCTTACATTGACTTTTCGTACCATAACGCGCTTAAAGTAAGCTTATTTGAAATGTTAGAAGTTCGTACTATGACGCGACTTTGACAGTAAAGTAATATTGCCCTTATGTCAAATTTAGTAATCTTAAAATAGTTACACGAATGCAATGGAAACAATATTATTTTCAGTTTTATTGTTTTGATATCGATTTGTAATGATTAAAAGTTATGTTGAACTTATTTATTTACGTATATTTCTTCAATATTTAGTTTTTTTTGCTATATTCGCTGTATAATTGCTATAACAGTGAGAGTATAATATCATTGTGCTATAGTGTGAAACTACAGACCCCCTATCATCTTCATCTCTCTCATTATACGTTTTCAGGAAACGCCCTTACTTTTCCTTCTTTAAAGAGTTCCAACTAATATTTAATATAATATTAGTGTCTAAATTACTTAAATTAGCCATTATAAGCTACTTCTCGCAATTTGACAATTTATCCACTTTTCATGTCTGATCTCCAGACCTTGGCATTATGCTATTCATTTTTCCAATGATAATTACGTACTATTTAATCAATTTCACTTTATGCACTTATTTATTTCGTATTTAATATTTTTATACGTTGACATTGATTTATGGATCTGTTACTCCTCTACAATCTGTTCTTCCATAGATTATCCTATAAATTATATAATAAACTATATAATTCCTTTGATATGCAATTTTAGCAGTAGAAGCGTTTCCGCTTCTGGCATCTCACATTTTGGCTCCTCATTTCAAATTCAAAATTGGCTATTCGAATGTCGATGCTCTCTCTCGCTCTACCAATCGCTCGTCTTTCTTGTATTGACCTTGGAGGCATCTTGGTCTTCACCAGATCTAGTAAATATACGAAGTCTCACCTTTTCGAAGCCCTACACCTGGCCTTACTACTACCGCGCTTACGCGCCTGACTGATGACCATTTCCTCGATTGCCTCACGCTAAACCTGGTCTTCACGTTTACTCTCGTCCTACCTGGACTGTGTGCTTCACCTTCACCAAGCGAGTTTGGAGCGGCAAGAGTAACTGAAGCCGACGCTTAAGATGAAGTACAACTCCACCTCCGAGCACAAAGTGATATAATCCACTGCTGCACTACCACCGCCGTCTCGTCGTCATTCCTCGGTGCCCTCTGGTTCCGCTCTACAGCCGCTATTCTTACAACCTCGCTGCTCTTCGGTTCTGCACCTCTGTCCTCAGTCACCATAAGTGCTGAGGCCTCCAACTCCGTGTCTCCATCTTCTCCTATTTTCACTTTCACACTACACTTACATTGCCCACTATACCACGTCCTAATACTCTCAGTTTCTTTCCACCACGACCTTCTAGCTTTCTACTTCCACATTGCTACAAAACATGATAAATATACCAAAAATGTAAGTTTTTTGTTTCATCCGACTTCTTTAGATTTGTATTTGGTAGAATAAGTTCAAACGTGCAAGCGTCCTCTGACGACTTCCGCTTTTTACACAGAGTTATCTCCGTTTAGAGCGATCTATTTCAATTTTTTCATTTTTGTATGAAAATAGAATCTGACGAATTATTGAACTCATGGAACAAAAGTTGTTGTTTATGATTTTTGTAATACAGTCCTGTGAAGTTCTTAGTACTTTCAATTATTTATTTGTGCAATAAGGTTGTCACTAGACCGATACTTTGATGTCGCTTGTAAATGTAAGCGACATCATGTATCGTCCCGCAAGTCGCGCAATATCGTTGAGTGGTGTGTGTTGATCTAGTGGCAATCCTAGTGCACAATTAAATAATGTAGACCAACGTACGTAAAGTACGGGTAGTTCGAAAACTAGCACGGTTAGAAGATGTTGACTCCAGCCTTTTCAGTCCCTTCGAGTCTGTACACGTTGCAATACGTCCAAATGTCGTGGTAAATAAAATATATTTAAATTATAATGAAGTCTCTTAATGTCGTTACATCGGTATATTTTAAAATGACAAAGTAACAAAATCACTACCCATAGGTTTTGTTATAGTTTTTCAAAGTACAGTTTGGTTTCTATGATATTTTTTATTATATAAATATTGTAAATGATAAGTATGTACAATTGTTTATTTACAAAGAGCAACCCCTACACTTTCTTTTCTGTCTTCTTGAGACATCTGCCTCACGAGTGAGTGGAGGTGTTTAATCTATTTGACGATTTCAAGTGCAGTTAACTTACTGATCTATGAAGTAAAGACACTTAGCAATAGAATAATAATACAAATATGGTAACTCTATACAAACGTAGCAGCACGGCTTATATGCACATTCGCATAATGATGAAAGGCGCGTGGAAATGATCAACGCTTTGCAACTCGAACGCACTACGAGAGTATGCGAATGTGTGCGTCCGTACAAGGCACGCAACGAGCGCGCACACAAATAAGACACGCTGTTACGTTTCTATGGAGTTACCACGCTTATATTATTATACCATGACACTAGTTTGAAGTACTTTGACCTTGTTAATAATGGTGTCTTCTTTTTGCAGAATCCTCCTGCTCCAGAAATGTCCAACCACAATCAACAACATATTTCTAGATAGAAAACTCACCAAGTATCTGGGTGACTTCCTGGGATATTTTTGTTATTTTATAGTCAGTAAAATATGTGTAATGCTTAAATCTTAACTATATTTATGAAGTAAATAAATTATGTTCAAGGTCAAGATAAGGGTTTCAATAATTTTGGTCACTAATGACCGCTGTTAAAAATGATTGCTATTGTAAATTTTGAGTTCTGGAAGAGACCATTCTGAAAATGTATAAGTCTAAAAATGTCAAATTATTTCCAGACATAGTTTGTTATTTGTACTTTTGAAATCTTTATACAATAGTAACGCGCACTTCGTATGAAGAATAATTTCTGTATATAGGTAAACGTTAAGAACGTTCTCGATTAAATTAGCCTCCAAATAAGAAAAATACCTTGAGATCGTTGGTCATGCGGGCCTTGCGTAATAATGATAGAAAGTACGCTTGGTCCACGCGAATTTATTGTAGAAGTATTAACAATAGTGAACAGGTGAAGGAAAGAAGAAAGGAAGAAACTGTATTTGGAATATTATGTAGCTGCTATATAAGCATTTAGGTTTACATGATATTGGGATACGGTTTTACCTCTGCGAGAATTTCGACGGGAGTGACCAAGAAATCGAAATCGAAAAAGGACAATTTAAAAAGTTATAGTAGTGGCCAGACGCCATTTGGAAGGTTACCATCAACAATCAAAACTTGGTCGCCCAACCTATTTTTTTTTATTGGAAGCGCAGAGACTTCTCGGTATTAGTGTCGGTAGATACTCGCGAGTCCAATGCATCCAAAAATGATCCCCTAGACATAGGCCTCGTCTCTACTTCACTCGGCAGATTAGTTCAGCGTCATCAACTTCGGCCACCACTGAGTGAGGTGAAGATGAGCCCAATAGGAAATAAATGGAGTATATGCTCCCTCCTCATCCGGGCTGACGCTAACATGAGTAACGAACGAACGGTTATAACGTACGGGCGTTGCTACGAATCCACTTTAAAACCGTGAGACTATCAGACCAAAGAGTTAATTTCGAAATTTTAATTAATTTATGCACTTGCGCAATGTACGCGAGACGAGCTGCAATGACGGCGGCAGCTTGAAGCTCATGGCGCGGAATTGACAGTGGTTTTAGAGACGCGAGCCGGGCCTTACCACCAATGAGGCTGAGCTTCAAGGCTCCATCGAGACATTCGAAGCGCCAATAGGCGACGCATGCATAGGTGAGCTCACTTGCAACGGTGACAATGTAAAGCTGAGCCTGTGGATGGGCTTCCTTATGTGCTAAATAGTGTCTGTGAATGGCACTGGAAAGCGACGCCTCACTTTCTTGGAACCACGCATTCCACCTCGCAGTGAAAGCAGAAGACAGCTCCTGATCCCATTCGGTACATAATTGCCATGTTTTTTGAAATAAAATGCGACCGCAAATAGATAATAGCGTTAAGAGCCGAGAGGATCATATAGCCGCATCAAATGCGACAAGACGGAACGCTTGGTTAGTTTTTCCGGGTAGCTACCAAAAGTACTCCTAGAGAAGCATAAAATGTCTTCGCGGAAATTCCAGTCCACTCTCATCACTCGGACATTGAGCGAAGAAGCATCTGAGCAAAGATCGGGTGGAAGCAGGGAAAGGGTTTCTTTAAAATTTGACACCCACGATCTCATCTCTAGACAGGCTTGAGCATAGACGTGAGTGGCGTGATGTCCAAGGCCAGCTTTCTAGCTTCCTCCACCGTATTGACGCTTCCTAAAAAGTCGTCCTTGTAGTGGTCGTTCACGATGACGTCTGCGGCTGCCGGGTACGCCTCTATGCTCCTTATGCTCAACCTAGTGCAGTTAAAGACGCTACTGGCTGTGAAAGGGTTCCACGACGTGTGCGGTGGGAGGCCGTGAAGTGCCAGTTATCGATACCAATCAGTAACATTGGCTTGGCATCCTTGTAGCACAGTACGTCTGCGATATCAGGGAGATAATCGAAAGACTTCACGGCCTCGACTGCTACGGATTGTCTACTAAGGCCGCGATTGAGAATGGATCTAACATTCTTTAGTGAGTACGATCTGAAGCTGTGGCGTCCTTTCATTTCTATATCAACGAAGCTAACCTTTGATTCCTTGGATATACCGCTGATGCCGTCCACTATTATGCAACTCGTTCTGCCTTGGGCTCCGATAGCAGTAGTTACCGAAGAGTCAATAAGTGTCGCGGTTGAGCCGTCATCTAATAGGGTAAAGGTATCAGATCTACCTTTGGGCCCAGTGACGGTTACAGCGATGATCTTCAGCTGCGGTCGATTAGCAGGTATGGCAGAGATCGATGTGGAGTTGTGACCTACAACTTCACGGGCAGGAGACGCAGAAACAGCAACAGAATCTACGGACATTTTATGATTCAGGGTATTATGGCTTCGTTTACTTTTGCAGCCGTCTACTTCATAAAAGAATTTCCTGCACGAGCGGTACCGATGACCGCCCTTAACAAGACATTTGTGACAAGTTTTATGCGAGGTGACCCATTCCCACCTTTGCTTCGACGTCAGGGCGCGGAACCTTTTGCAAGTCTTTGTGACGTGATCAGATATTTCACGATACAAGCAGAACATCTTGTCGGTTGACGACGCGGTGGCTGCATGCCAGGACTCCTTGCAGGGCCAGAAGCTTCTTTGTAAGAGGCAAAATCAGCCCATCTCGTGCGAAGGAGAGGCATGACTTTTCAACTATTTCATTGAAAGTTCAGGAGAAGCCAAATATTCAAGGGCTGCAACTGCTTAACCGAGACGGTATTAGTATACGGCCGGAGGATCTTGCTAAATATGGTGTGAAGTCCCCAGCTGTTGAAAAAAGGTACGATGGCGCTGCAACGCTCGAGGAGGTGGAGATATATCCCTCTGCGTCCAAGGAATGGGACGGTTGGGCCTCGGGAGCGCTCTCGCTACTGCAGACAACGGTGTTGAGCAGTGGACCATGAAGCACCTGTACATTACAATAATCTTTGTTAGATTGTTCATTATTTATAATACCGTGTTCAACATTATTATATAACCATTTTTTAATCTCGATTGCCACGCGGTCGGAATGGTGAGTGGAGCAGCGGGTGGTGTGACGGCTAGAACTGACTGGCACATTCTAAGGCCTTTATTGCAGCTATTTCTGTACGATGTTCTGCTTCGGCCACAGAGCGCTCTGCTGCCAAAATGGTGCGAGCGTGCTCGTGCTCTCGTTCAAGATCGAGACGTGTTTGTACCCGAATTTACTACGGATCCGGGTACAGAAGGATCTACGGGAATCCTACCGGCTGCGCCAAATAAGTGACTGACCAGAAGATTAGTTTAAAAAAAACTTTATTCAAACTGACAGAGTGATTGCTTAGTTCTAATAGTAGACAAATAATCGATCTTAAAACTAATTTACAGACTTTATATATTATTTTATTCATTTGTCATCATGCGAGCAATTGGCACAGTTGGGCGTGCTGACAAAACGGAGGGGCTCCGGACGTTCATTAACCTTAACTCGCTCGCGTTTTGCATACTCGATCTCTGCCATGCGACGTAGGTGGACTGCCTCGGCTGCCAGCTTTTTAGTATTGATAGCGGCGGCTGGAAGTACTTGCATACGAAATGCTGCGCTTTTCTTCCATACCACGGGCTTTTGAGCGAGTCAGCATTTTGCGATAAAAGGGGTACTGAAAAATAACAAGAATTACTTACGTAATACCACACGCAAAGTGAACCTTGACGACGAGTTGCGGACACCAGCCCGTTACACCAAGTACCAAGTACTTACGTAGTAATTGAAGTTCGTTGAGTTCTAGGTTTTTGGGGTGAATCGCGTTTTCTTCTTTTTTAAATATTAAGGCTGACAATGTACGCAAACAAGCAATATTTTTCAAAAATAAAAATCATCGAAAAAATAAAATCCAATTCTTTAAAATTTATTTTAAAATAAAAGTGAAGAAAGTTATTTTATTTTCGACCACTTCTTGACACCACTTTATATTAGGAACTCATTTTAAATTTTAAATTTACGTCACAATATAAATTCAACCAGTAGCATCGTCGACAGTAGCAGCGATTCTACAAGGCGTCTAGTTTGAAGGCGCCCTAATATTAATTAGTCTTGGGTAGGACATGAAATTAAAATGAGTTTGGGCGGTACAATGTCCTACTTCAAATGAGTTGAGGTAGTGTTAAGAATGTTTGCACCTACAGCAATGACTTAACAGACGGGGGACGTCTTAATATTTAGGCACATTTTCATAACTTGATGGTATCAATCATTTGGATAACTTAAGTGTTATTATATAGTATAAATAAATGCTACTTTTATTTACTACTATGGTAGTGTGATCATATGATGTAAAATCAGCTGAAAAGTGGGCAGTGCAGGACAATCGTTGTTGCTTTTACACATGACATTTGACATTTTTATGACATGAGGTGTTGTAACAAAGAAACCAAGCAAATGGTACAAGAGAGTTGCCAAGTTGCAAGCAGTTGAGTTGAGTGAACGTGTAACTCAACACTACCTAATATGTCGGGGGTTAAAAGTTATATGTGAACAATAGAGCATTCTGTGTAAGATGTTATTAACGGTATTTGCTTTAGATGGTAACGCCACACTTTCGAAATATCCCGGAGGTTCCATTGTTCCGGTCTGGCTTACAGCGAAGTTTACAATAGGGGGAAGCTGACAACTCTATTCTCATTTATATATAAGTTTCTGTACGGTTTTCGGTACGACTGCTTTCCCTAAGTAATTGTTGTGTTCACAAATGCGCGCTTCTGCAGAATACCATTTATATCTGTCCAATACACACCTAGGAGTTCAATATAATTTAATGTATTTGTTGTGTTCGTGTACGTAGTTATGTCAAAGTGTTAGGTGTACTAGAATATCATGGCACTAAATAAATTTAAAAAATCAAGTGATTTTATCATGGTAATGTTAACCTAAGTAGCAGTAGACCTCCTTGTGAAAGAGTTCAACCAGGGAAGTACTGCCACCTTACTTATTTCGACCTTCAAGCAGTAATGTGCCTGCTTGGCGGCATAAGGTGGCAGTGCTTCCC